CGTTCCACTGCTCGCAAAGTGCCCATTCGCAAACGTCTTAAAAAAATATCAGTCTCCCTGTACGTAATGGGTCGTAAGCCCCCCGCGGCGGATCCAGGCCATTTGCGAGTAGCTACTCTGTGAGTCGTGGAACGCGCTCCTCGACCCTCAGAAGGCGAGGGGGCTTCCCGAGCCTTCCGAGGAGGCGGCCTGCCCCCTCGCGCTTCCCCCCCCCCTCGGGGCTGGCCCCGGCGACCCTGCCCCCCCCGGGCTCGCGCGCCCGCCTTTCCGGCCCTCGCGCCTCAAGTCGGGCCTGTCCCTCGCTCTGCAGCAGGAATCGATCCAAACATAATCAAGAACTGGTCTGGAGACGATTTTCTTTTTGATTTGTTTTGGGCTCTTTTGGAGCATGTGTGGACTGTGTTTAATTTGTCGTCCAACATCCCGAGCATTTTCTTTGGGTGGAGGGCAAAAGGTGGAATCTGAAGTGCCATTTCGATGGATCTTCGAGGCTTGAATCTGCAGACGGTGAATCACAAGGTGGATTGATTTTCGAGGCGCAAAAGCCCATCTGGATTTCACCCTGAGCCCTCCACCCTCAGAAACTGCTTAGAAATGCGCCTGTACAGTGGAGGCCCATGCCAAGAAGCACCCTGCTTGCCTCCAGGGTGCCCTGGGTTTCTTGGGTTTCGATGGTTTCACTCGGGAAGGCGTGACGTTCCCGCGCCAAAAAATCGATGGACGTCCCGGGGCCTCAGGGGTGGGTTTCTTGTGGAAGGTTTCTTGTGGACAGGCTCCCACTGTAGGAGGACCTGCCCGACCTGACTCGCCCGGGGAGCCGGCCGGCCGCCCCCGCCGCCGCGGGCGGAGGCCCTCGTCTGTCGCGGGGGCGCTGCCGCCCCCGCGCGTTCTCGCGCGCCTCTCTCCGAGGCAGGGATTTTCTGCATGGCCACCGCCCGGAGGATCGTTTTTCGAGGACCTCGGCAGGCGGTGGATATGGATCTATTCAGGCCCCCCGGGGGCCAAACTGTATCCATTTCCACCGCCTGGTGGGGCATCAGGACGTCGGTTCCCAGGCGGTGGATCTGGATAAATCCCCGCCTCGCGCTCTCTTGCTCCGGTCGGTGGCGGCGTCGAGGGCCTGCAGCCATCGAGAACAGCAGAGCCCCTGACCTTAACGTCGGGCCTGTCCCTCTGCAGGAGGAGTATTCAAGAATAGTAAGCAAACATGTCAGGGGACGACTTTTCGAGCATCTTCTGGATTCTTTTCGATTATTGCTCGACCATCTTGTAAGATTTCTGTCCTCGGAAATCCGCCTGTAGGAGGACATGCCCGACCTGACCCTAACCTTCATAACACGATGAAGACGTCGCCTCACTTGGAGGTCCCCGTCTTCGCACCAGGGATGCGAGAACCTGGGCGGTCTGGTCTGAGACATCTGCAGAAGAAAATACCCCCCATCACCAGGGTCGTTGGCCCTCCTAACTTAGGTCCCCTCACAAAGGGTTAGGGGTACACGCCGGTCGTCGAGAGCAGGTATTCTTGAACTTGCGGACCCCAATCTACGTCAAGCGCCTTCCTACTTCACTGGTTGAGTGCTCTTCCCTCCTCCTTCCTCTTCAGGGGGCGGGCGAGAGCCGTAGCTGCTTCCAACGCCTTCCCGCTTCCTGGTTCTACCCACCTCTTCCGACCGACTGGTACTTGTATTGCTCATCGTGCAGTTCCTCCGGACACCCGCCCTCGCGGACGTCACGTCGCGTGCACAGCGCCGTCGTCGGCTGCCGTCGACGTCGTCGACCTCGCGCTGCCTTCCGCCGCCAGCCCTCTGGCTCCTAGCTGCCCCGATGCGCCCGTGCTGAAGCGCAACACGTACCATGGTCAAAGCGTCCGTGCCAAAATGCGTTGCATGTTGGTTCGGCGTATTGCCCCACGTCTTGGCGAACGTATCGCGTCATGCCTACGTTTCCGGTCTGCGTGTCGAGCTCCGTGCCGATACGCTGCGTGTCGCGTGCTGCGTATCGGAACAGCGAATCTCTTGCTGCCCCTCCGACCTTCGCTCCGTTCTATCGGCAGCGTCGTGGCAGCCTCTGTTGACCAGCTGTCGTGTTGCTCTCTGCTGCTGCTCTGCCACGCCGCCCAGAGCCACTGCTCCAGCCTGTGCGCCCTGCGGTGGTGGTGGAGCAGCCCTCTCTCTGAGGAGTGGCCGTGAGCAAGTCTAACCGAGCCGCCGCCTGGCATCATGGCTCGAGGAGGAGGAGGAGGAGGAGGAGGAGGAGGAGGAGGAGGAGGGAGGAGGAGGAGGAGGAGGATGAGGGAGGAGGAGGGGGGAGGAGGAGAGAGGAGGAGGGAGGAGGAGGGAGGAGAGGGAGGAGGAGGGGGGAGGAGGTCATCATCGTCGTCGTCGTCGCCGTCGCCGCCGCCGCCGCCGTTGTCACCTCGCCTGCGCGCGCGCGCAACGCAGAAGCGAGCCGCAGCTGCGCCTGAAGGCGGCGCCGAGCAGCCTGCCGCAGCTGGCGGCAGGCCAGCGGGGGGGGTGGAGGGGCGAGGGCGAGGACGACGGCGACGATGAGAATCGTGATGACGGTGGTGGTGATGGCGAATGTGATGATGATGGCGAATGTGACGGCGATTGTGATGATGATGCTGATGATGATGATGATGATGATGATGATGATGATGATGATGATGATGATGTGGATAACGGTGATGATTATGAAGGTGATGATGTTGGTGAGGGTAATGATGGTGTCGATGATGATGAGGAGGAGGAGGTTGATGATGAAGATGGTATTGGTTATGATGGTGATGGTGAATATTATGACGAAGATGACGATGCTGATGCTGCTGATGACGATTGTTCGGATGATTATGTTGATGATATTGATGATAATGATGATGATTATGATGATGATGCTGATGATGATGATGCTGATGATGATGCTGCTGCTGATGACGATGACGATGGCGATGACGATGATGATGGTGATGCTGATTGTGATGATGACGATGACGATGACGATGATGCTGATGATGATGATGATGATGATGATGATGATGATGTTGATGATGATGATGATGATGATGATGATGATGATGATGATGATGATGATGATGAAGACGCTGCTGATGCTGATGCTGCTGATGATGATGATGCAGATGATGCTGTTGATGATGAGGATGCTGTCAGTTGTGATGGTTATAGTAATAGTAACGATCATGCTGATGAGTTTCGAGATGATGGAAGTGAGGGGAGGAGGAGAAGGATGATGAGGAACAGGGGAGGCGGGGGAGGCTCCCTTTTTTCCTACTCCTCATATGTCCTCTCATTCTCCCCCTCCTCTGCTGTGGTAGCTTCTATTATCCTCTCTTCTTCTCTCCTGTACCTCTCCTCTCCTCTCCCCTTACTTCCTCTCTTGATTGCCTTCGTCATCCTCTGTCTCCTCCACCTCCTCCTCCTCCCCCTCCTCCTTCTCTTCTCTCCTCTGCTTCCTCCCTCCTAATTGTTTCCTCCTCCCCTTCTGCTCTTTTTTTCTTCTCCCTCGAGAACCGATCGAACCAGGTAGACATACGTATACCGTCCAAGGCTCAATTTGATCTCGTGAGACCCCCCTCAGGAAGAGAATGAGCCGACGGAGGACGAGGAGAAGTCGGAGAAGAAGTAGTGGGAGGATGACGAGGATGGTAGCAAGAGGAGGGGGAGGAGGACGAGTAGGAGGAGGACACCGAGGAGGAAGAGAAACATGGACGTGGTCTAGAAGGAGGAGTAAGATGATGCTGAGAAAGGTACGGGCACCCGAGGAGGAGGAGGACCAGTGCAAGCCCAAGGCTCACCAACGATGTTGCAACCAACTCTCCGTCCAAGCTCCCTCTTCATAGACCCCATACAAGAATTTACATACGACTGGAAACGCACCGTTGGAAGACAGCAGTCTGAGAATCCCCAACCGCGCCAAACCGCAACTCCTTGGACTTCAGCGCCGCGAATCAAGCGTACTGTCGCGTCCTGGCGATCCCCAGCCGTGCCATAACATTATTCCTGGGACGTCAAAACTGCGAATGAACATGGCAGTTACGCCCTGGCAGTCCTAACTCGTGCGGGAACACTCCTGGGACGTCTGCCACACCGTTTGTTACACGGTCGTAAACTTTGAGCACGATTGTGCGCGGCGCTAAGGCGAGAGCCTTATGTTGAAACTAGCCGTCCTACGTCCAAGACGCCCCTGCAAACTTTAGAATGAACTGCTCGCGGCGCTAAGGCACGAACCGCATTTTGAATATCACCCGCCCTCCATCCGTTGACCTCTTGCACACCTTGAAGACGAATTTGCGCGGTGCTGAAGCGACAATCACATTTTGAACAGGAGCCGCCCTCCATCCGTGACGCCCTTGCAAACTTCGAACACGAATGTGCGCGGCGCCAGGGCGAGAGCTACAGTTCGAGAACGGTCCGTTCTCCATCGGTGAAGTTTGTGCGACGGTTTACAAAGAATGTGCGCTCCGCTGAGGCGAGAGCCATATTTTGACACGCACCCGCCCTCCACCTGTGAAGCTCCAGCAAACTTAAAAAACGAGTGTGCGCAGCGCCAAGGCGAGATCCGCATTTCAAGGACGACCCGACGTCCATCCTTGAAGCGCGCTGCAGGCTGTTAAGGCGAATGTTCGCTGACCAATGGCGGTATGTACACTTTGAAAACCGCCCCCCCCCCCCCCCCTTCATCCGTGAAGCTCTTGCAAACTTCTATGAGAAACGACTGCGCGCGGCGTTAAAGCGAGGGACACATCTTGAAAACAGCCCGCCTTCCATCCGTGAAGCGGTGGATAGTTTTAATTCTCAGGGCCCTACATGGTGAGCAAGTCTCACGCGAACCTGACGCACCACCGACACGTCCCGGAGTGCGACAGGGAGGAGTTCTCTAGTAGGAAAGGGATGGAGGAGGAGGAGAAGGAGGAGGAGGACGAGGAGGACGAGGGGGACGAGGAGGAGGAAGAGGAGGAAGGGGATGATGCTGATGCTGATGCTGAGGATGCTGCTGCTGATGATGATGATGATGATCATGATGATGCTGATGCTGATGCTGATGCTGCTAATGCTGATTAGCATGATGATGCTGATGAGGACGCTGATGATGATACTGGTGATGATGCTGTTGATGATGATGATGATGGTGGTGGTGGTGATGATGATGAGGATGATGATGATGATGACGATGCTGATGATGAGGATGCTGAGGATGATGATGCTGATGATGACGATTATGGTGATGGTGATGCTGATGATGATGATGCTGCTGCTGATGATGATGGCGGTGATGATTATGTTGATGATGGTGCTGATTATGATGATGCTGATGATGGTGATAATAATGCTGATGCTGATGATGATAATGATGCTGATGATGCTGATGATGATGATGATGATGATGATGATGATGATGATGATGATGATACTGGTGATGATGTTGCTGATGATGATACTGATGCTGATGATGGTGATGATGATGCTGACGCTGATGATGCTGATGATGATGGTGATGATGATGGTGATGATGATGACGATGATGATGACGAGGAGGAAGAGGAATACTTCTACGAGGCGTGAAGATGAGGCGGAGGAGGGAGGATGAGGAGGATGCTGATGATGCTGATGATGATGATGATGATGATGATGATGATGATGATGATGATGATGATGATGATGATGATGATGATGATGATGGTGATGATGAGGAGGAGGAGGAGGAGGAGGGAGGAGGAGGAGGAGGAGGAGGAGAAGGAGGAGGGGGAGGGATAGGAGGAGGAGAAGGAGGAGGATGAGGAGGAGGAAGAGGAGGAGGAGGAGGAGGAGGAGGAGGAGGAGGAGGAGGAGGAGGAGGAGTGAAGAGGAGGCGGCGGAGGAGGAGGAGGAGGAGGAGGAAGAAGAGGGAGAAGGCAGGCCCCCTTCTCTCCCCCCAGCCTCTGGCGCCTTGCCTAGGCAACGCCGTCTCCAGGAAGCCCTCCGAGGATGCTCGCCCGGGGCGCCCCCCGCGGGGGCGGCGCGCCCGTGTGAAATCGTCAGCATCGCTGCCGCCGTCGTGGTGTCCTCCTCGTCGTGGAGGAAGGAGCAGTGGGAGGAGGGGAAGGAGGGATAGCAGGATGGGGGTGAGGATAGGAGAATGAAGGGGGAGGAGGGTGAGGATAGGAGAATGAAGGGGGAGGATGTGAGCAGGGAAGGGGAAGGAGGGGGAGGAGGGACATTATGGTAGGAAGGATGGATATTAGGAGGGGAAGGAGCAGTGGGATTAGGGGAGGGAGGGATATTAGGATGGGATGAACTAGGTGCGCTTGAGCTTTGTCTGACGTCCTACCCCTCCTGCTTATTCGTTCCCACTGCGCTGCGCCGATTTGTTGCTCTGTCCGCGGACGCGGGTCATAGCGGACCTGCAACTCCCAAACAAAAACCCTCACATGATGCAAACAACAGTCCATCGTATTAATGTGCGCAATTGGAAGCAGGGGAGCTTCGTGCATAGGATGAGGGGGAGGGGAAGGAGAAGGACGAGGCGGATGAGGAGGAAGATGCCCAGGTGGAAAAGAAGGAGGAAGAGGAAGGAGGAGGAGGAGGAGGATCCAGAAGAGGAGGACGAGGAGGACGATGCCTAACAGCAGCACTGGAACATGAAGTGGAAGGAGCGTGAGGAGCAGCAGGACCAGGGGCAGGCGGAGGAGGGGAACGGAGCTGGGCGACAACGGTAAGAAAGAACTCGAATCCAGAAAGTGGCCCGCGCTGGGGCGACAGCGCCAGTCAGAACAACGGGAGGTAAGTGCCGATCTCAAAATGAGGCCACCGCTGCAGCGGCAGCACCGTTTTCAGAAACCGAAAGCGCTCCGACCGAAACAAGCAATAGTACAGATCAAACCATGATATACTGCCTGTGTAATAAAAGCCGGACGCGAAGGGAGCGGGCTACTCCCCAGCCATGTACGGGGGAGAGGAGAGTAGTATTTATATTAAGTGATTTTGCAGTGAGGAAGGGTTGGAGGGATGAATAAGGGAGGAGGGAGGAGGGAGGAGGGAGGAGGGAGAAGGGAGGAGGGAGGAGGGAGGAGAGAGGAGGGAGGGAGGAGGGAGGAGGGAGGAGGGAGGAAGGAAAAGGGATGAGGGAAGAGGGAGGGGGGAGGAGGGAGGAGAGAGGAGGGTGGATGGAGGAGGGAGGACGAGGATGAGGATGCGACGCAGGAGCAGGAGGAACAGGATGATGATGCTGATGATGATGCTGCTGATGATGCTGATTATGATGCTGATGGTGATGATGCTGATGCTGCTGTTAGTGATGATGATGATGATGATGATGATGATGATGGTGATGCTGATGATGATGATGGTGATGATGATGATGATGCTGTTGATGGCGATGGTGATGGTGATGATGCTGATGAAGGTCATCATGATGATGCTGCTGCTGATGATGATGAGGGGTAGGAGACGGAATATGAGGAGGGAGGAGGACATAGTAGTAGTAGTAGTAGTAGTAGTAGTAGTA